CAGCACTTTGGGAGGCTGAGGCAGGTGGATAACCTGAGGTCTGGAGTTCAAGACCATCCTGGCCAACATGGTGAAAACCCATCTCTACTAAAAATACAAAAAAAATTAGCCAAGCATGGTGGCAACCATCTGTAGTTCCAGCTAATCAGGAGGCTGAGGCAAGAGAATCGCTTGAATCTGGGAGGCAGAGATTGCAGTGAGCCAAGAGAGTACCACTGCATTCCAAAAGTCTTATTTTTAATTTTTTTTTAATGTTTTTTTAAGACGGGGTTTCACCATGTTGGTCAGGCTGGTCTCGAACTCCTGACTTCAGGTGATCTGCCCGCCTCGGCCTCCTAAATTGCTGGGATTACAGGTGTGAGCCATCGTGCTCAGCCAAAAGTCTTCGTTTTTTTTTTTTTTTTTTTTTTTTTCAGTCTCGCTAGATTTTTGGAGTAAATATTAGATTACATGCATATCTTGGTGATTAAACTCCAGCTACTTATTTTTTAAAAATTATGAGATGGGATCTCCATGTTTCCCAGGCTGGTCTTGAACTCCTAGGCTCAAACATGAGCCACCATCCCCAGCCTCAATTATTTATTATTGAAGAAAAAGGTTTTACAAACTTAGTGTACCCTAAGTGTATAGTACTTATAATCTCTATAGTAATGGCCTAGGCCTTCACATTCACTCACTGACTCAACCGGGTCAGGACTTCCAGTCCTGCCAACTGTATTCTTATTTTTTTTTTTTTTTTTGGTTTCACCATGTTGGCCACGCTGGTCTTGAATTCCTGACCTCAGGCCTCCCAAAGTGCTGGGATTACATCACACCTGGCCTATTATTATTATTTTGAAATAAGTTCTCGCTCTGTCATCAAGGCTGGAGTGCAGTGGCACAGTCACAGCTCACTACAGCCTCAATCTCCCAGACTCAAGTTATCCTCTCACCTTCAGCCTCCCAAATAGCTGGGACAATAGGTATGTACCACCACACCCAGCTGATTTTTATTTTTATATTTTGTAGAGACAGGATTTTGCCATGTTACCCTGGCTGGTCTCAAACTCCTGGGATCAAGCAATTCTTCTGCCTTAGTCTCCCAAAGTGCTGGCATAAGCCACTGTGGCCTAAATTTATTATTTCTTAATTTTTTTTTTTTTTTTGAAACTGAGTTTCGCTCTTGTTACCCAGGCTGGAGTGCAATGGCGTGATCTCGGCTCACCGCAACCTCCGCCTCCTGGGTTCAGGCAATTCTCCTGCCTCAGCCTCCTGAGTAGCTGGGATTACAGGCACGCGCCACCATGCCCAGCTAATTTTTTGTATTTTTAGTAGAGACGGGGTTTCACCATGTTGACCAGGATGGTCTCGATCTCTTGACCTCGTGATCCACCCGCCTCGGCCTCCCGCAGTGCTGGGATTACAGGCTTGAGCCACCGCGCCCGGCCTTCTTAATTTTTTTGAAGACAAAGTCTCGCTCTGTCACCAGGCTAGAGTACAGTGATATGATCATAGCTCACTATAACCACAAAACCGTGGGCCTACGGGATCCTTCCGTCTTGGCCTCCCAAAGTGTTGGGAGTATAGACATAAGCCTCTGTAGCCAGCTGTATTGAAGGTTTTTTTATTTTTATTTTTTTATTATTTATTTATTGCATTTTAGGTTTGGGGGTACATGTGAAGAACATGCAAGATTGTTGCATAGGTACACACATGGCAGTGTGATTTACTGCCTTCCTCCCCTTCACCTATATCTGGCATTTCTCCCCATTCTATCTCCCCAACTCCCCACCCCCGGCTGTCCCTCCCCTATTTCCCCCCAACAGACCCCAGTGTGTGATGCTCCCCTCCCTGTGTCCATGTGTTCTCATTGTTCAATACCCACCTATGAGTGAGAACATGCAGTGTTTGATTTTCTGTTCTTGTGTCAGTTTGCTGAGAATGATGGTTTTCAGGTTCATCCATGTCCCTGCAAAGGACACAAACTCATCATTTTTGATGGCTGCATAATATTCCATGGTGTATATGTGCCACATTTTCCCTGTCCAGTCTATCATCGATGGGCATTTGGGTTGGTTCCAGGTCTTTGCTATTGTAAACTGTGGTGCCATGCGTGTGCATGTGTCCTTATAGTATAAGGATTTATAATCCTTTGGCTATATACCCAGTAATGGGATTGCTGGGTCAAATGGAATTTCTATTTCTAGGTCCTTGAGGAATCGCCACACTGTCTTCCACAATGGTTGAACTAATTTACACTCCCACCAACAGCGTAAAAGCGTTCCAATTTCTCCACATCCTCTCCAGCATCTGCTGTCTCCAGATTCTTTAATGATCGCCATTCTAACTGGCATGAGATGGTATCTCAATGTAGTTTTGATTTACATTTCTCTAATGTGATGAGCATTTTTTCATGTTTGTTGGCTTCATGTATGTCTTCTTTTGTAAAGTGTCTGTTCATATCCTTTGCCCACTTTTGAATGGGCTTGTTTTTTTCTTGTAAATCTCTTTTAGTTCTTTGTAGATTCTGGATATTAGCCCTTTGTCAGATGGGTAGACTGCAAAAATTTTTTTCCATTCTGTTGGGTGCCGATTCACTCTAATGACTAGTTCTTTTGCTGTGCAGAAGCTGTGGAGTTTGATTAGGTCCCATTTATCTATTTTGGCTTTTGTTGTCAATGTTTTCGGTGTTTTGGTCATGAAGTCCTTGTCTACGCCTATGTCCTGAATAATTTTGCCTAGATTTTCTTCTAGGGTTTTTATGGTGTTAGGTCTTATGTTTAAGTCTTTAACCCATCTGGAGTTAATTTTAGTGTAAGGTGTCAGAAAGGGGTCCAGTTTCTGCTTTCTGTACATGGCTAGCCAGCTTTCCCAACAACATTTATTAAACATGGAATCCTTTCCCCATTGCTTGTTTTTGTCAGGTTTGTCAAACATCGGATGGTTGTAGATATGTTGTGTTGCCTCCGAGGCCTCTGTTCTGTTCCATTGGTCTGTATCTCTGTTTTGGTGCCAGTACCATGTACTTATTCATTTTAAGAGCCCTATAAAAGTGTACCATTTGTTATCTTAGTTTTTGAAACGGAGTATCACTGTCACCCAGGCTGGCATGTAGTGGTGCGATCTCAGCTAACTGCAACCTCCACCTCCCGAGTTCAAGCGATTCTCCTGACTCAGCCTCCCGAGTAGCTGGGATTACAGGAGTGTGCTCCCATATCCAGCGTATTTTTAGTAGAGACAGGGTTTTGCCACGTTAGCCAGGCTGGTCTTGAGCTCCTGATCTCAGGTAATCCACCTACCTCGGCCTCCTAAAGTGCTGGGATTACAGGCGTGAGCCACCGCACCCTGCCCTTTACTCTTAAGAGTACCAAAAGGTAAACAGAAAACTGTTTACCATTGTGTTACAACTGCCTACATTAACAAGCTGTGCAGGTTTACAATCTAGGAGCAATACACTATACCAAATAGGTGTATAGTCAGCTACATCACCTAGGTTTGTGCAAGTACACTCATGTTTGCATGATGAAACCTCCTAACCATGAACTTCTCAGAATGTGTCCCAGCCGTTTATTGGAGGCAGGGTTTCATCGTGTTAGCCAGGATGGTCTTGATCTCCTGACCTCATGATCTGCCCGCCTCTGCCTCCCAAAGTGCTGGGATTACAGGCGTGAGCCACTACGCCCGGCAAAATAACACATCTTAGCAGAACTCTCTTCCAAATAGTTTTCTTGCCTATAGTCAAACCACCTGGGTAGAAATGACAGACAGACTGCACTGAACAACTGTTTTATAAACCTTTATTGCAAAGGCTACAAACTTTATATTGCCACCGCATTTCTTTTGTTTAAAGTGGATGTAGGGAAGTAACCTTGGATACAAAACTACTATACTGTTGAATCTTGCCCAGGCTTGTTGTAAAATATTTTTTGTACAATGGAGGTAGAGTGGATAGGTCAATAATTTAAACCTCACAGGCCTTGATTGGTGTCAGCACACCTTTTTTCATTCAGATTCTAGCAGACCTAGAAATAAACTACAAATACTAGTTTTAGGCTCAGGGATGGCATTTAATACATTTAAAATTTTTAGTTTTCAGTTTTCCCATATGTTCCTTTACAAATGTAAAATGTGCATCGGATGTCTCTTCCCTCAAATAAGTGTGTTCTAAAAATACCTACTGAGAGTGAAATGGTAAAAACCAGATGATGGAAAGAGAAACACAACATCCTTTTCATCAGTTTTACCTGAATTTCTTCATACCAGCCTAAGCATCCTACTTTTCTATAAAACATTATAGAAAATCAAAAAAATAATCAATGGCTTCCCCAATTTCAAACATTCAACTTAATGGAGACAAAGCATCTCTTACATTTAATGAAGACAGAGCATTTGAACAGGTATGCAGACATGGTTTTACTATACATTTGCTGTTAACCTTATTTTTTTAAGGGGGTGTTGGTGGGGAAGATACAGAAGTTGGGCTAGCCCAGTGCTCGGGAGTTACAGCACTCAGACACCCTGGCCTCTACAGAGCATTGCTGCAGCCATTGAAGACTGTCTCTACCAGCCTTTTGCCTTTCAAAACTGTAAGATGGGCATGGGCCTGAGACATAAGCTTCAGGCCAATGGGTTTTCATTGGCTGTTTAAGAACCAGTACTAAGGATACATTCTTTATGTTTTTCCTTCTAAAAATGTGACACAAAAGAATAATTTACACCAACTGCTTTTTATTATCGAGTTTCAGAAACCTTTCACAAGATGGTAAAAAAAAAAAAAAAAAAAAAAAAAAAAAAAAAAAAAAAAAA